CATTATGTTGTACACCTGAAACAGTGTTAGATGTCAATTATATCTTACTTAAAAAAAAATACATCCCCAATACGTGTTCAGAATTACTCCCCCAACTCCAAAAAAGAACTCTCATCTCTACATTATCAACGGAGAACAAACCACCGACTTCGAAATAATTGGGGCATGGGAACCCTTTTGCACGGACAGAAGGCTTGACTTCTCACAGAAATGAGCCCCTCATACAGAATTTTAATGTACTGTTTCTGGAAGCTATTTTTGCCCAGTTGCATTGTCACAGCTATGAACTAGAAGCAGCTCCAACCCAAACTAAGAATAAGTGGTGCTGAAGCACTCATTTACACAGAAATTATAATTTAAGAAAACTAAGAATACAGAAAAGTTATACTTACATAAATATTAAACATTACATTAGGGACAAACTTTTAACATTCTGTGACATTATGTCGCTTTAGTTAATAATCACAGCTCCTATTTTGGGGGGCAGTTTTCAGCATTACCATGTTTTAGGCACTATGCTAAGTATTTCTCATGCATGTTGCCTTTCATTTGTACAACAACCCTACGATGTGGGCATCATCCCCCTTTAGTTGATGAAGAAACAAGGTGCATAGAAATTGAGTCACTTCCTGGAAGTCACACAGCTGATGAATAAGCCAGGTCTGACAGAGGTCCGGACTTTTCATCAACAGTATGTAAACTAAACAGTCTGTAAGCTCAAGGCTCCACAACAAGTTTTAAAAGACCAAATTCTTACAGTGAAAAGTTTCACAAAGTCACAAGAAAAGAAACCAGCATTCCAAAAATAAACTTGAGTTGTATGAATAAAAAATAAGGCACTGTCTTTAAACTAATGCTGGAAACAGCTTATTTATTCTTATTTTTTAAAAGAATTGAAAACATTTTGAAACAAGTTTTGGAAAATGTCACCAGAATTTGGTAAGATTATGAGCTCCCACTAGGCGCCCTGTATTGTTAGATGCTGGGATACAGAATCAATTAGAAATAGTTCTCATTTCTCAAAAAATTCAGTGGTGTTGGTGGGGGACACAGGTACAGTGATAGACCATAATACATGGCAGAAAGTATAACAGCGAAGTGCAGGATATTACAGAAAGGTGAAGAAGGGTGCCTAATCTAGCCAGTGCGTGGTAGGAAAGTTTACTGGAGGAAGAATGGTGAAGAGTTGCCAGCCGAAGGGAGCGGGCTGCTCATTCCAGAGAGCAGAGCCCGGCACAGACTAGAGGCAGGAAGTAGGGCAGTAGTACATTAACAGGGGAGACTCACAAAAAGGTCAGGGTGGCTGAAGCATGGAATGAGAGGCAGGGCACAGGTTAAGGCTGGGGAGGCGAGCAGGGTCCAAATCATGAAGAAGGTGGAACCAGTGAAAGGTTTTAAGCAAGAAAACAAGCAGCTCAGAATTATTCTTTCACTAAATCCCTCAAGGGCTATGTGAAGCATGGGCTTAGAGTCACACAGCCAAAGGTTCAATTCCTGGCTCTAGGGCTTATTAACTGTGAACTTTGGCAAGATATAAAACCTTCCAAGGGGCTGCCTGGGTGGCTCATTCAGTTCAGCGTCTGACTTCAGCCCAGGTCATGATTTCAGGGTCCTAGGATCGAGCTCATAGAGGAGTCTGCTTCTCCCTCTCCCTCCGTCCCTCCCCCGACTTGTGCTCGCGTTCTCTCTCTAAAATAAACAAATAAATAAATAAAATCCTTGAAAAAAATAAAACCTAAGCTTCAGTCTTGTCACCTGTGAAATGGGAAGTAAATGAGGTAATGAATGTAAAGCACTGGAACATAGTAAATGCTCAATAAATGATAGCTCTTATTATTACTGTTAATATTAGAAGCCTAGAAGTTCAGGGAGACCCATATGGGAGTCTAGATGAGGCATACTAAGGCCCTGAATAGTGATGAAAAAACAGGACAATCTGAAACATATGCAGGAAACAGAAATGATAAAATCTGAATACCACCTGGCTATGGGAGTGGGGGCTAGGGAGGAGGAGGAGCCATGAGTGAGCTCTAGGTCTAGGTTAGGTGACTAATGGGCCGGTGGCTGGTGGTGCCCCTGACTATGAGAATATGGGAGGCAGAACAAGTCTGGGAATCTGACTCATACTGAGGAGGAGGTGCGTATTCAGAAGCAGATAGCCAGCAGGTAAAGGGATGGTCTGGAGTCTAGGGTGCAGGGGTGGCCTGGAGTTAAAAAAGTGGGTGTCACAAGTATCTCACAGCACGAGAATGGAAGAGATCCCCTATAGAGGGCATATTCAGTCAGAAGAGCAAAGAGTTAGGCCAGACCTTCGGAATGCCCACAATGAAGAGTCAAGGAGAGAAAGAAAACCCCCGAAGAAAGAAAAGAACCACAAAGGACAAGAAAGAGCCAGAACGGCTCAGTATAATGGAAACTAAAGGAGCAGGACCTCATGGAGGGAGTCATCAGTGGTGCCCCATGTAGTCGAGAAGTCCAGTAAGTTCCAAACATGTCCTCAGAATTTAGCAGAAACTGTTGCTGATTTTAAACCAAAGGGTAATTTTACTAGGACAAGGAGATCCAACTGCTGGCCTAAGGTATTAATGGGAGTGTGGAAGGGGAAAGAGTCCACCGTAAATCTGGTAAAAGAGACAGAAGGGAATTAAGTAGTGGTAAGGGAGGAATGTAGGGTCAAAGGTTAGGTTAAAAATTATTTTTAGGATGGCGTACCCTGAGCATTTTGTGAGAAGGAAAAGGTGGATGACAAGTGAGGATGCAGGAGACAGATTCACTGACAGAGCAAGGTTCTTGAGGAATTAAAAAGGAATTTTTAAGTATCTACTATGTGTCAGGTACCATGCTAGGCCCTGGGGACACTTGTCTACAAACTATTAGAGCAGAGTGTGACATGAACACCAGTCTGGAGCGCACTCCTCCAGAGGAGCTCAGAAGGGTGCCCATCTGACTGGGGGTTTCCTGAACCCAAGCTTGTGCCTGCTCACCTTTCTACTCTCACTGTCCAACCCCAGGTATGGCACCCACCTGCCAGGCATTCAGTGATGTTCCTGGTATGAATACATACACTCAGAAACTTTATTTCTAGGGGCAGAAATTTTACAAAGAGGTATGAAAATACATTCTAAGATAAAGGGAATCGGGGTATTAAAATACAATGAAATATTAAAATGTACCACACATGTTCAGAAACTATTTCTAGAGGCAGAAATTTTACAAAGAGGTATGAAAATATATATATATATTTTTTAAGATTTTATTTATTTATTTGAGAGAGAGAGAGAGAAACAGCATGAGAGGGGAGAGGGTCAGAGAGAGAAGCAGGCTCCCCGCTGAGCCAGGAGCCCAATGTGGGACTCGATCCCAGGACTCCGGGATCATGACCTGAGCCGAAAGCAGTCGCTTAACCAACTGAGCCACGCAGGTGCCCTGAAAATATATTCTAAGATAAAAGGAATTGGAGTATTAAAATACAATGAAATATTAATTAAAATGTAGCACACATGCTCAGAAAACATGCATCTAAAGGCAGCTGAAGGTTAAGAGAATGGAGAGAATGGGGAGAATGGGGCACAGGGTTCAATCATGTGGAAAAGGCCTGAAGTGGTTCCAGAACTCTCTCTGGCCAAATGTATCCCCTAATCTGCAAGCTTATGCTTAAAATTCATTTAACCATCTAAGCACAAAACTGTTCATCTCAAAATTGTAGATAAAGGATTAAAAAGGAAACGTGTGAAATGGTACATCAGCTAAAACCCCTTTACTGGCTATGTGACACAGCCCAGGTCCCATAACCTCTGAGAAAGCAGACCATGTGGCAGATGAGACCCCAAGACCCTTTCAAATCTCTTGCTTAAAGGTTCTAAAGCAGTGTTTTTTAAGCTTTTGGGGATCACATACTCCTGTGGGAATCTAATGAAAGCTTTGAATTCTACCCAGTCGCCCCTAAAATAAATATAGACACAAGCATACAAAATTCTGCAAATCATGAGAAACCCGACTGTAGACCTTCTTCCTAGCAGGAAATTAGCTGAGGTGCAGCTGTTTACAACAAAGATGCTTTGTCTTCCTTAAAATTAATGGAGACAGGTTTCAGAGTGACCCTGTAAGACCTACAGGGGATAGCTTGCTGTGTGTCCACCTGTGTGTCCTTCTGACCTAAGTCTCCTCATCTCTGAACTCCACAGTGCCAAGTGCAGTGCTCTGAATACAAGAAGTACCCACTTAATTTGTGAATTAAGTTGACAGGACCAAAATGGTTTGGATGCATGATTCTGGAGTTTTCAGACCTTTGATGCGTCCTGAGGTCAACTGTAAATCCTCCCTTTCAGAGACAAGTTCAAACTCACAGCAACCAGCATGGGCTTACTCTACAGAATCTGTCAACTTTCCAGAACTGATTTTGATTTGATTAGAAGGGTCTAGCCCACCGCAGAGAAGCTATACCTCAGTTTTGAAGCAGAATTTGATGACCTGCCCCTTCCCCCAAAACGAAAACACACTGTATCTGCTTTTAGTAGAAATCCCTTACATTTATATAACTCTTTATACTTAGATTTTTTCAATCCCTCTTACCTTCATTCAGTATTCATCTGGGAGATAGGCAATATATGTAGTACTCCATTTTAAACACAAGGAAAGAGCATGTAATATTCAAGTGATCACAGAGAGGGCTTTATACAAAGCCCAGAATCAGGACCCCAAGTCACATTTTAATGAATATACTAGTGCTTCTGTCACCCTTATAACAAGGTGAGAGGGGCCTTTTTAAATGACAGAGTGAAACAGCTGTGACATTTAATAAATTGTTCAGTGATAACATCTAAGTAGTACCTGTCATTTAAGAAACCAAAAGCCATGCCAATGTAAGTAATTTTATATACAACGATTAAATAGCTTCATTTTTTTCAATATTCAGTCATAATCAAGTTGACCTATTATTTATGATTTTTAAAAAAAAGCAGAACCCACTGTACATAGTAGGGGGGAAATTCCATACTTACCTACTGCACAATGTAAAATCTAGAGAAAAAAGGGGGAAAAAAGAATGAGTAAAGATCAATAATAATATATAGTTCCCATAACACACATTCCATTTTTAAACTTGGTTATTTAACAAAATGTACATTCTTATTTATTTTTGTTTGTTCCTTTTTAGTTTATCTGTGGAAGATTTCCTAAGGAATAAACCTTACCCAGTAATCTACCAGATGTCTCTTTTATAACACATAAACTTGTAAGAGCAGTAGGTGTCCATCTCCCACGTCCCATATTCTATAGAACAAAACTGTCACAGACTATAGAACACAGGGTCAGAAGAGCCTTTGTTGGCTCTTCTTACCCGGCAGGCCCTTCAATGCAGGCATTCATTCAACCTACAAAGCTCCACAGTGAGACTTCATCTTATCTCATTTGGTGACCTCATTACAGGCATGTTCCCAGTCCAATCTGTGACCCTAGATCTCTTCATGCTTCAGGCCCACATTGCAAACTGCCTTTGGACATCTCCATCTAGGTGTACCAGCAGCAGCTCAAACATGGCATGCCTCTTCAAGAAACTCCCCCTTTCCTTCCTTCATACCTGCTATGCCTCTTATCATCAACCTTCCAGTCTCCCAAGTTCAGCTGTTCTTTCCTTCCCCTCACCTACAAGTCCTACTGGTTTCCAAGTCCTGCCAATACTTCTGGCATCGGTCTTCCCTGCTCTTATTTCCAGTGCCTTGGGTGAGACTGCTATCTCCTTTCCATCTCAGTGCCCATCCAAGTGGCCAATTAGGTTATTCTAAATTGTCTTCTAATTCATCCTGTATATGGCATTGCTTTAACCCTGGTGGTGGTTGCAGTAAAGATGTAATCTAAGGAGCTGGGTTCAAGATGGCAGTGTAACAAGATCCTGAACTCACCTCCTCTAGACCCAACAAACTACAAATAGCTGTGGAATAATTCCTTCTGAAAGGTACCTGAAAGTTCAATGAACAGAGCCTTCACAACAAAGAATAAAAGGATAGCAGCAGAAACACAGACTTGCTAGGGAATAAAACAAACCCCAGCTATGGTGGGTCACAATTGGGAGGGGCATCAAAAGTGTGGACTTTTCCCAGAGGATCAAAGGTACCTGAGTTCTATACCTGGCACCCAAATCTTTAGATCCTGCGCAGAAGAGATGAGTCCCCAAAACACTAGGCTCTGAAAATCAATAGGGATCACCTTGAGGAAGACTATAAAGCTGCAGGGAACAGAAAACCTGCTCTTAAAGGGCCCACACACAGACTCGCTCAACCCAGATACCAGTGCAAAACACCAACTTGAATAGTACATAGACCACAGATAAAGGAGAACCATTTGCTAACCTTAAGAGCATCTGCCCGAAGAGGCAGGAAACAGCAGGGACTCTCCCTGGAAACTGACACCAGTGGGAGCAATTTTTGTGATTCAAGTCTACCTTACTAATGTGGGTGCTGGTGGGCATTATTTTGGAATTCCTCTAACATTCTATTAACAGTGGGAACACCCTGCAGAGCACCCTGCCCAAAGACACCCTGCAGAAGTTGTAGACACAGCCTGCAGCCCAACCAAGTGTCAGTGTAGCCCACCAACCACAGCCCCAGGCCCTGCCACAACAGGAGGGCACACACAGCCCACAAAGGGGACACCCCTTGAGCTCCTGGTTTTGGTGATTGGGAGACTGTATTTCTGGGCCAAATAGTACCATCTCCTATGTAAGGTCACTCATTCAAGACTGGGAGAGGTGGCTGACTTACCTCATACATAGAAACAAACACAAAGAATTAGGCAAAATGAGGAGGCAGAGTAAGACGTTCCAAAGAAACAAACATGACAAAATCTCAGAAAAAGAACTAAATGAAACACAGATAAGCAACCAACCTGATAAAAAGTTCAAAGAAATTATCATACAGATGCTCAGTGAACTCAGTAGAAAACTGGTTGAACACAATGAGAACTTAAGCAAAGAGAGAAAATATAAGAAAGTATTGAACAGAAATTTGAACAATACACTGGAAGGGTTCAACAGCTGACTGGATGAAGTAGAAGAATGCATCAGCAAGCTGGAAGACAAAGCAATGGAACTTGCCCAGACAACAACAAAATAAAAATAAAAAATTAAGATGAACGAAACAGATAAAGGGGATGAAGAGGTTCAAACGTCCAGTTATAAAATAAATCAAGTCATGGGGTTGAAAAGTACAGCACAGGGAATATAGTCAATGATACTATAATAATGTTGTATGGTATAATCTATGACAAAGCAAACAAGAAGACACAATGGGAAAAAGTCTCTTCAAAAATGGTGCTGGGAGGGCGCCTGGGTGGCTCAGTTGGTTAAGCGAATGCCTTCGGCTCAGGTCGTGATCCCGGAGTCCTGGGATCGAGTCCCACATCAGGCTCCCTGCTCAGCAAAGGAGCCTGCTTCTCCCTCTGACCCTCCCCCTTCTCATGTACTCTCTTTCTCTCTCATTCTCTAATAAATAAATAAATCTTTAAAAAAAAAATGGTGCTGGGAAAACTGGACAGCTACACACAATGAAACCAGATCACTTTCTTACACCATATACAAAATTAAACTCAAAATGGGTTAAAGACCTAAATGTGAGACCTGAAGCCATAAAACTAGAAGAAAACATAGGCAGTAATCTCTTTGACATCTGTGGTAGAAACATTTTTCTAGATGTGTCTTCTTTGGCAAGGGAAACAAAAGCAAAATTAAAACTATTGGCAATACACCAAAATAAAAAACTTTTGTCCAGCAAAGGAAACCATCAACAAAACAAAAAAACAACCCACTGAATAGAAGAAGATATTTGCAAATGATGTATCCAATAAGGCGTTAATACCCAAAAGATATAAAGACCTTATACATCTTAACACCAAAAAACCAAATAATCCAATTAAAAAATGAGCAGAGGACAGGAATAGACATTTTTCCAGAGAAGACATACAGATGGCCAACAGACACATAAAAAGATGTTCAACATCACTAATCATCAGGGAAATGCAAATCAAAACCTGTGAGATATCACCTCACACCTGTCAGAATGGCTACAATCAAAAGGATAAAAAATAACAAGTGTTGACAAGGACGTCGAGAAAAAAGAACCCTTGTACACTGTTGGTGTAAATGCAAGCTGGTGCAGCCACTGTGGAACATAGTATGGAGGTTCCTCAAAAAGTTAAAAAAAGAACTACCATACGATCCAGTAATTCCATTGCTGGGTATTTACCCAAAGAATACAAAAACACTAATTGGAGAACATATATACACCCTCTGTGTTTATTGCAGCACTATTTATAATAGCCAAGATATGGAAGCAACCTAAGTATCCATGACTGACGAACGGATACAGAAGATATGTTATACATACACAGTGGAATATTACCCAGCCATAAAAAAGAATGACATCTTGCCATTTGCAACAACACTGATGGATCCAGAGAGTATTATGCTAAGCAAAATAAGTCAGTCAGAGAAAGACAAATACCATGATTTTACTCATATGTGGAATTTAAGAAACAAAACAAACAAAGAAAAAAAGAGACAAAAACAAAAAAACAGACTCTTAACTATACAGAACTGGTGGTTGCCAGAGGGGAGGCAGTAGGGGAATGAGTATAACAGGTGAAGGGGATTGAGAGTATAATTATGATTTCAGAATAGCTGAAAACTTCCCTAATCTGGGGAAGGAACTGAACATCCAGGTCCAGGAAGCCCAGAGTTTCATATAAGATGAACCCAAAGAGATCCACACCATGATACATCATAATTAAAATGGTAAGAATGAATGAATAGAATTGTTGAAACATCATATTGTACACTTGAAATTAACATAATACTATATGTTAATAATACTTAAATAAAGCTACTTTACACATTAAAAGGAAGAAACTGAAGCCCAAAGGCATCTCCCTAGTTGGCCCAAAAAAAAAAAAAAAAAAAGTTGTATGGTGACAGATGGTAACCAGACTCACTGAGGTAAACACTGCATAATATACAGAATTATTGAATAACTATGTTATGTACCTGAAATTAATATGACACTGTATGTCAACTATACTTCAATAGTAAAATTAAAAAAAAAAAGGTGACGTAACTGATGAATGTTATGAAGCTGTGGAAGGTTTGAGGCACATAGGAATCAAGGGCAGGAAGAATAGCAAAGGAGCTCCAGCAGTTAAGTGTGGTGTGATAATGGCCTGCACATTATGAGACCTGAGAACACAGGAAAGAAAATGTAGCTGAGTATCACTCAGATACAGAACTGGTGGGACTTGGTAATGGGAGTAGACAGTAGAAGGGGAAAAAAATTCCCCAAACTCCAATTTGAATCAGGGAATTAACAATGCATTGGTTCCCAGACAACTTAATCTCAAGGGCTAAGAAAATATCCACAATTTTAAAAGGGTAGGGAGTTGATATACTTGTTTGTCAAGTGCCTATTTTTAACTAAATACCAAATACTACCATAATCAATTTTTTAAAAAGATTTATTTACCTTGAGAGAGAAAGAGGGGGAGAGAGGGAAGGAGAGGCAGATGGAGAGGGAGAGAGAGAATCACACACAGACTCCCTGCTGAGTGTGGAGCCCAACACGGGGCTCGATCCCATGACCCTGAGATCATGACCTGGGCCTAAATCAAGAGTCAGATGCTTAACCGACTGAGCCACCCAGGCACCCCCACATCACTTCTTTCAAGAAACAAAAAATTAGGAAGGATATAACCTGAAAACAAACAGTCTTTTGAAAGAGAGAAGATAAATTAATTAGAATTCTAATTTTAGAAACAGTTCTGAGAATGTGAATTCAAGAAAAAAAATTAGCAGATATGTCTCTATGTTCTGGCACTTTATCTGGCTACTTCCAAAATATCTTGTAATAATTAACACTTTTCCCAGTTGACACAGCACCTTTATAAATGTGGTTTTTTAAAAAAAGGAAAAAATTAAGTGAAGATATACCTTAAGGGACCCTAAAGACAAATCAAGGGGGATAACATTCACATTGTAG